GTTTGACATGAAAGGACATCCTGAATGTGACTAAGAATCTGGTATTTGACAAGGTCCAAATATCAATTCCTTGTTTTACCTCTGGCCTTTAAACCTGCAAGACTCTGCAGGTTTTACTGAGAATGGAGACTGAAAACTACATTATACAAATGAACAATAGAATTCTTAAAGGTCATGAAATCTAACCGGGATACAGACAGAAGTAATGGAAATTTTGTCTTGGTGCTAGCCATTGCTCCAGTTCCTTTGTGCTGCTCTGGGTTTTTGGAACTTTGTGCAGACTGCAGGCTCCCTGGGGAAAACCTGACAAAATCCCTGTGATTTTCTTACTTGGTTCTAAGAACCACCCTAGCCTAGACTTCATAAAATGTGAAAGAGATTAAAAAAACATCTTTGTTTCTTCCTTTGGAATATAATTTCGTAGCTGTATCTCTCAGGAGAGGTTTAAAGTCCTGTCCAGGGGGGTTTTGCTAGCATATAGGTGGCTAAAGGATTGGTACCACTGGCAGAATTTTGTTTTTTTTCGACCATGGGGCTAATTCCATGGTATCTAGCCTGCTAGAGTCAGATGGGCTTCATATATCTAGCAAGGGCAAAAGGACTCTAGCCCATAAGTTGTCGGGGCTGATCAGGAGGGCTTTAAACTAGCTTTGAAGGGGGAAGGGGTTAAAACCAGGCTCTCCAGAGATGATCCCGAGTTAAGGGTGAAATCAGCAGCCCAGTTGAAGTGCATGTACACCAATGCACACAGCATGGGTAACAAACAAGAGGAGCTGGAAGCCATCGTGCAGCAGGAAAGCTGTGATGTAGTCCCTGTCACGGAAACGTGGTGGGATGACTTGCATGACTGGAGTGCTGCCATGGGTGGCTACAGGCTCTTCAGAAGGGGTAGGTAGGGTAGGAGAGGTGGAGGGGTGGCTCTGTATGTTAGAGAGTCTCTTGACTCTGTAGAACTCAAAGTCACTGAAGATAAAGTTGAGTGCCTGTGGATCAGAACTGGGGGGGAAGGCCAACAAGGCTGATAGCCTGGTGGGAGTCTGTTACAGACCACCCAACCAGGATAATGAGGGGGATGAGTTATTCTACAAGCAGCTGGCAGATGTCTCAAAATCGCCAGCCCTTGTTCTTGTGGGTGACTTTAACCTGCTGGATGTCTGCTGGGAACTCCACACAGCGGATTAGAGGCAGTCTAGGAGATTCCTGGAGTGTATAGAGGATAATTTCCTGCTCCAGCTGGTAAGTGAGCCTACCAGGGATGGGGCCCTGCTAGACCTTCTGTTCACAAACAGAGAGGGGCTGGTGGGACATGTCATGGTCGGAGGCTGTCTGGGGCACAGTGACCATGAAATAAGAGAATTTTCAATACTCAGGGACGCAAAGAGGGCCATCAATAAAACTTCTACCCTGGACTTCCAGAGGGCAGATTTCGGCCTATTTAGAAGACAGGTTCAGAGAGTACCTCGGGAAACAGCCCTGGAAAACAAAGGGGTCCAGGAGGGATGGACATGCTTCAAGAAGGAAGTATTGAATGCACCAGAGAAGGCTGTCCTAGTCTGCTGAAAGGTGAGCCGGCAAGGAAGACGGCCAGCCTGAGATTTTAAAGGAAATTAGGGGAAAAAAAGAGAGCTTACTGACTATGGAAAAGAGGGCTAGCTACTCATGAAGAGTTCAGGAATATAGTTAGGTCATGTAGAAAGAAAATTAGAGAGACAAAGGCACAATTTAAACTCAGTGAAGCCACTTCTGTCAGGGATAACAAGAAATGCTTCTACAAATACAGCAGTAGCAAAAGGAGGGGCAAGGAAAACCTCCATTCTTTTTTGGACATGAGGGGGAACATAACCACCAAAGATGAGGAAAAGGCTGAGGTATTTAACACCTTCTTTGCCTCAGTTTTCAACAGTAACAGGTAGTCCTCAGGACAACTGGCCTCTGGAGCTGGTAGACAGAGACAGGAAGCCAAACAGCCCCCCTGTAATCCAGGAGGGAACAGTCAGTGACCTGCTGAGCCACTGGGATCCTCACAAGTCTATGGGACCAGACGGGATCCACCCCAGGGTGATGAGGAGCTGGCAGAAGAGCTCACCAAGCCTCTCTCCATCATCTACCAACAGCCCTGGCTCACTGGGGAGGTCCCAGATGACTGGAAGTTGGTGAATGTCACACCCATCCACAGAAAGGGCTGCAAGGAGGACCCGGGAAACTCCAGGCCTGTCAGCCTGACCTCAGTGCCTGGCAAGGTTATGGAGCAGATCATCCTCAGTGCAATCACACAGCACCTGCAGGATGGACGGGATCAGACCCAGCCAGCACGGGTTTAGGAGGGGCAGGTCCTGTCTGACCAACTTGATCTCCTTTTATGACCAGGTGACCCGCCTGCTGGATGAGGGGAAGGCTGTGGATGTGTCTGTCTGGACTTCAGCAAAGCCTTTGGCACTGTCTCCCACAGCATTCTCCTGGAAAAGCTGCAGCCACAGCTTGGACAGGAACACTCTGTGCTGGGTTAGGAACTGGCTGGAGGGCCCAGAGAGTGGTGGGGATGGAGCTGCATCCACTTGGGATCCGGTCACCAGTGGTGTCCCCAGGGATCAGTGTTGGGCCCAGTCCTGTTTAATATCTTTACTGATGATTTAGATGAGGGGACTGAGCCCATCATCAGCAAATTGCAGATGACACCAAGCTGGGGGGGAGTGTCGATCAGCTGGAGGGCAGGAGGGCTCTGCAGAGGGACCTGGACAGGCTGGAGAGTTGGGCTGATTCCAAGGGGATGAGGTTCAACCAGGCCAAGGGCCGGGTCCTGCCCTTTGGCCACAACAACCCCCTGCAGCCCCACGGGCTGGGACAGAGTGGCTGGAGAGCAGCCAGGCAGGAAGGGAGCTGGGAGTGGGGATGGACAGGGAGCTGAACAGGAGCCAGAGTGTGCCCAGGTGGCCAAGAAGGCCAATGGATCCTGGCCTGGATCAGGAGCAGTGTGGCAGCAGGAGCAGGGAAGTGATTCTTGCCCTGTACTGAGCACCACCCCTGGAGTGCTGTGTCCAGTTCTGGGCCCTCAGCTCAGGAAGGACATGGAGGGGCTGGAGCAGGTCCAGAGGAGAGCAACAAGGCTGGGGAAGGGACTGGAGCACAAGTGCTGTGAGGAGAGGCTGAGGGAGCTGGGGCTGCTCAGCCTGGAGAAGAGGAGGCTCAGGGGAGACCTCCTCACTCTCTGCAACTCCCTGACAGGAGGGGGGAGCCAGGGGGGGGTTGGTCTCTTTTCCCAGGAACCAGCAGTAGGACAAGAGGGTATGCTCTTAAACTGTGCCAGGGGAGGTTTAGGTTGGATATTAGGAAGAAATTTAGGAAGAGAGTGATCAGACATTGGAATGGGCTGCCCAGGGAAGTGGTGTATTCACCATCCCTGGAGGTGTTTAAGATGAGACTGGATGTGGTATCAGTACCATGGTCTGGGAACCACAGTGGGGTTGGATCGAGGGTTGGACTTGATGATCTCAGAGGTCTTTTCCAACCCAGCTGATTCTATGATTCTATATTAATATCAGCAGCCAGTCCCAAAGGAGATTGAGTTGATTCTTCTGATGGTATAAATTACAGCAGTTGCACAAATAAAATATGATAAGGATTTTTTTATGCTGCCACTGTATTTGCACTATGGATTTTCTGGCATGGGTTCAACATTTGATCCTTTTTTATGCTCTCCTGTTAAGACCCAGGCAAATCATCAGAAGTGGTTGTTCCCCTTCCTGGCAGGCCCTGGCCCTCAGCCCCTCCTGCTCCCCGTTGCTATTGCCTCCCAGAGCTGGGTATGACTACTTTTTTCTCCATGCTTCATATCCAATGTTTTGATGGCAAATGAATGTATTTGATGTTAACACTGCAATGGACACCTGTGGCCCAGTGTTAAGCTGGCCTAAGTCAAATGACCATTTTGAAAATGTTATGAAGTGAAGGGGATTCCCCAATATTTTCCACACAATAAACTGTTCACTGGCTCTGCTAATACCCTCCTTCAAACCCTACTGTCTTAAAGACCCTGAAATATCAAAGTTGCCAGGTCTTGCCTTGCATCTAGACTTTCTTCATGTGGCGTTATCACTATGACTCCATGTCCTTAAAAGGCTCCATTTCCTCAGTAATTTCTTCTTGACAGTATTTCTGATCTACAGCTAATGTGAATTATGGATATTAGAAATTGACTGTCATGTTATTGTAACACTACATACACACTGCGTAATGCTGGCATTAAAAGGTCAGCCAGTAAAGCAAATGCCAATAAACAAACAATATTTTGTTCAGTCTTGCTTAAATGACTCCTGCTAACCAAGCTATATCAATCCTATGACACTGGGTATCACCTGTTCCACAGTAATAAAAAGAAAAGCCCAGTCACCCATGTGTTGGTTCATGTCATTCATCACAACAGTCACACCAGGCGTGCACGGACACGATGGTAATCAATAACTCATCCGTGACTCAGCAGAAGGATCCCGGGTGAGACCTGTGCAGACACTGATCTATTTTCTTTGCCCCTTTAGCACCGCCGAGCAGGCACCTAGGCGAGCCTGTCTTTAAGGTGCAATAATTCCAGCACCGTCTGCTTTCGATGCGAGCTATTCGCATTCCCAAGGCGCGGAGAGGCTGCATCCCAGGTGCGGTTTGCTCTGTGGTCTGCGGGCGAGCGGATCCATCCTGCCCGAGACGAGACGGGGAAGGGAACGCTCCTCCGAGAGGAGCAGGGGAATGCGACAAGTGTCACCGGGTGCGAGGAGGCGCGGCGGCTCCTGCTCGGCCCGGCGGCGCTGCGGGACAGCGCACCCGCTCCCGGCGGAGGCGCGGCGGCTCCCGAGCCCCGGCGGTTCCCGAGCCCCGCAGCCCCGGGAGGCGCCGTGCGGGGCGATGCCAGAGCGCGCCGCTGCCCCCGGGCCTGCCCGCGGGGCCGCCGCCGTTAACGGGCGCGGGGAGGGCAGGGCAGGGCAGGGCAGGGCAGGGCAGGGCAGGGCAGGGCAGCACCGAGGCGAGGGCGGTGCAGCCCCCCCGGCCGGACCCCCGGCAGCAGGGCCGGGCCCGTCCCCCCCGCCGCTCGTCCGCCATACTGCGGGGCAACCCAAACTTGTTAAACGCGGGCACCAACTCCTCCCGCTCCCGCTGCTCCTCCTCCCGCCGCCGCCGCCCTGCCCCTCCGGCGCGGGGAGGAGGGGGCTGCGCGGGCCCGGCCCCAGCCGCGGGGAAGGCGCCGAGGCGGGCGGGGGCCGTGCCAGGGCAGCGCCGCAGCCCCCCGCAGGTAGGAGCGCCCGGCGGGGCGGGCCGAGCGCCGGCCCGGGGGGAGGAGACGGCGGCGGGGGGCGGGCGGAGGGAGCGGGCGGCGGCGGCGCCAGAGCGGTGGGCGCTGGGGCAGCGTCTGGCCGTGCCCGCCGTGCTGCGCCCTTCTCCGAGGTCGGTGCGGGGCTGGGGGGCCCGGGCGGGCGGTGCCGCCGCACCTGCGGAGCGCGGCCGGGGCCGCGGCGGGGGGCGGGCGGGGGGCGCCGGGCGCTGGCAGCCCCCACCCGCGGCGCGGCGGCGGAGAGGCGGAGAGGAGGAGCCTCCCGCGGCAGCAAATGAGCGAGGGCTGCCAGGTTTATAAATCTGGTTTTCCTCCCAGCTCCCCCGAGTCCCGCTGGCTCCGGCGCCAGCGACCGCCCGCCGCGGCTCCGCCAGGTGCGTGCCCGCTGCCCCCCGCCCGCCGCACCTGCCGCGGGGCCGGGGGCGCGCTCGGGGCGGTGCGGGCGGAGGCGAGGCGCGTTCGCGGGGCTGGGAAAGCGGTCGGTTTCCAAGTGCCGGCAGCCCAGGTTGCCAGGAGCGCGTCCGGGCGCTCCGGGGAGGCCGCTGTCTGTGCCGGGAAAGCGCCGCCGCGCCTCTTCTCGGCGGAGAGCAGGGCGCCGCGCTGGGCGCTCGCTGCCGGGGAGCCGGCTGCCTGTGTTCTGAAGAGCTGTTGTGTGCTGTTTTATTTTTCAGCTGTCAGGAGAGTTTAAATCAGGTCTCCGCGGAGCTGCCCAGTTTGCAAGGTACGGGTGAAGTGAGAGTTTCCTGTCCCCATTTGCCCTTGATCTAATTCTGAGGGGGTGTCTTCGCCGGCTCCCGGAGGTGTGGGCTGTTGGATGGTGTTTTCCGCGTATACAAAACTACGCATCGTCGGCATTGAAGGGAGAAGGATTGAGTGGATGAATGCAGCCGTGGTAACTTCATTGTTGCAGCTCCTTTCAGTGACGTGACTGCCTTTAGCAGGGAGGGGAGCAGGAGCTTGCTCCTGCCTTGACGTGGGAGGGGACCTGATGGATCTGCAGGTTGAAGGGCTTTTTCAAGTCTGCTCTTTCATTTAATGCTGAAGCCTTCTCCTGTCTTCATTCATGTCTTTATTATCGTGTACCTCTTGCAGGGAGTTGTTACTTCGGCTGAAAAACGTGAAACATGACTTTTAAGTCTATGACATCCAAGTATTTCTAGTAGCCTCTGGAAATCAATGTAGTTGTAAAGCCTCTTAAAAAAAAAAATTCCTGCTCTAATTATCGGTAGGCTGTTGCCTGCTTTATGCCCATCAGGCTCAGAAATAGCTACTAATCTCATACTCCCTTTTGGATACCTGTATGAAGGTTTTGTTAGAGGACTGTTTAATGACTACTTTTATTAGAAAGAGTGCGAGCTCAGGCGGTTACGCAAGTGCGCCTAAAGGAAGCCGTGCTGGCTGCACGGATGGCAAATGTGGAGGCCGTGCAGGAGTGGGAGTATCGTTTACAAACTGAGTTGGAACGGGGCATTGTAGGAGAGAGAACCGGGTAGCTCGTGGGGGGTGAAACATTCCCTGCTGTGCAGGGAGAGGTGTTGGCACAGTGTGCCACCTGGGATGAGCAGGCTGTGTATGGGGTGGGCACTCATAATTCTTTCCTGTAGCTGAGATGGGGTACAGGTGACTTTTCCACTGTAAGCAAACGAGTGGCAAGGGAACGTGTTTCTACATGTATCTTCTTAAAAAAAAAACAAACAAAAAAAAAAGCTTTGTAAATGTGGAGCTGGATCAACAGATGAAGCCTGGCTTTTACTAGGATCTCTTGGCCTGGAGAGGAAGTATTTCACCATCCCACCCCCCCTCCCCTGAAGCAATTACTTTATGTACTGTTTGTGATGGTCAGGGATCACTGCAGAATCTGATGACAAAAGCTTGCGTTCATACCTACTGAAATAGGTCTACAGCTAGCTTTTTAATTCTTTTTTTTTTGAAATGAAAGCCATTATAGGGTGGTCACTACTTCCACAGCAGATGAAGCATTTGATGTGAATGGATCTATTTCAAAACTAGAACACTGATTCATAGGTTTTTATGGACACTGTAAGTAGAGGTGTGCCCACAGACTTCATTTAATATGCTGTGTTGCCATCTCTTTGCTGGTATATTATGATTCAGTCCCTTTTCCTCCTCCTGTCCCTGTATAAACCTGATAACCTTTTGTTAACCTGCTCTCATGGGTACAGCAGTACCGTGCCAAAATGTTTGTCTTTACACCACTTAGAGGTCCTGCAAGGAGGAGAGTTGTTCTGGATGCTCTGATGCTTCCCTTGTTGGCCTCTCTCCTGGGCAGCTGAGCTTGAGAGTTACCTGCTTCATGCAGCCTCTTACTGGGGAGGAGCTGGAGAGGATCTGTCATCTGCCCAGGGCCACTTGGCTGGAGTTGGAGACTGCACTGTGCTCTCTCTTGGGTGGACTCTCACCCTCTCTGCCAGCTGGCTTGGAGGGGTGTGTGTCGAATGAACATTCTATTGTTAAAATACATTGTCTTAGATGTTTTCTTACAGTGAAGTCATGTCAAAATTGACTCCTGGTCTGGCCTGCTAGCATTAGATGCAATGCTTGCATATGCCACCTGGTTTGGAAAAGGTGTTGGATAAGTCAGTAGATAGTTTTGACATACCCTGATTTTAAGGATGACTTTCCAAAGTGGGACTCTAAATCAGTGGAAATAAAATCTTGGAGCATTTCTGTCATAGTTATGCTGTTTTGGAACTCTGCCAGTTTTTTTTTGCTTTAGTTGTGGTTTTCTCCGTGGAAAATGGAATCTCAAGCCACAGTTGTTGCAATAGGGATTTTGTAGATAATAAGAAAATAAAGTATTTATGCTGAATGTTCAGAGGAAGTTTTTTATCCCAGTTTTTGCTGTGCAGTGGTAACTTGAAATAATTGCCAAGGTTGACTAACATTTCTTATAATCCTTCAGTGCTTTGAACTGTTGGATCTTGTTGGATTCATATTCTGTGATTTAAATGAGTTGAAAAGTAGTTTCTGAAGGTACATTACCATGAAAGTGTTTTTCATGAGTGGTTGCTGATCTGCTGTGCTACTTTGTAAACTGAGGTTTAATTGACTATAGACATGACTGAGAGAATTTTTCACAATGCTTTAGTTTCAGAAAAAATCATTAATTTTTTTTCTGGGTGGCACGTGACAATGAGGTTGGAGACTTTAAGATGACAACAAAAAGAAGCAAAGCAGGTCTTTAACTTCTCTGAGTTATCCATTAGAAGTTCCTCTTTTTTTTTTTTTTCCCCCACACGTATATAAATTACTGTGTTGGAAATTTAAAGTGGGAATTCAGATTTTCATTATTATGTTAGTATTAAACACTTTAGGGAGGTTGGTTTTTGTTGTGCCTTGTACTTAGCTGCTGTATGCCGTGTTTAGTCAGCTGAAGAAAGGTATGCCCAGTTGGGAAGTTGCATAATAAACAAGGAGGTGGGAAGTGCTTTTGGCTTTTTATTTGATTCTTCTTTCTCTGAAGCTTTTGCCCTCCTTCTGTCTAACTAGTCATTCCTCTGATGATATAGCAGCCTTTTATAAGTCCTTCTTCATCTGGCTTTGCATAGTCCTGTGCTTGAGTGTCTAGGTAGATAGGTAGAAGAAATGCATTGAAAAGAATGAGGAAAGTCCCACTTATGTTACTTGTGTCTCAGGTTTTGGGAAATTGAAATGGCTGTAGAGTTGCTGTACCACGAGGAGCTTGTGAATGCCAGAAGGCTGCTGCTGCTGCAGCTTCCATTTGGAGAGTTAACTCACCTGTGAGTTGATGTAGCTGTGCAGGCTAGGTGTGCAAAGTGTTTTAATTGTGTTCCTTATGATATGAAGGCTTTGTCTTTGTGTCTTGGATGAATTAGTGAAAGGAACAGAAATGACTTTTTCTTCTACCACAGCTCTTCAGCTACAAAGAGTAGCACCTCATATTTCAGAGTGATCTGTGCCATCATCTTGGATGATGGGGAAGTTACAGATCTTGCTATCCAGAAGTAGATTAATGAGGTCTTGCATTAATTGTATTCTGGCCAAAAAGCTTTTATGTTCTGTCTTTTATCTGCCTCTAAAATACCAGGAATTCAAAGGGCTGTTTAGCTTTCTAGGGGTGCTGCTGCAGCCTGCCTTCACTATGAGGAAGCTTAGTGCTTGCAGTAGGAAGTGTGTTGTGCTCCATATCTCTGAAAATGGCATGAATAAATAAGGAAAAACTTATTTTTTGTACAGTTAGTGTTTTTTTGTTTCTTTTTTTTTTAGATAATGGGGTGGAGGAGAATAAAAGACTTTTTTTTGAACAAGAGGCATGCACATTGTTTGTAGTTCTGTAAGTCTGAGATTTTTGACAAGTGTTTTAAAGCACTAAACTGCAGCCTTTACTTAAAGAGAATGTTCTTACATGCCAGTTTTTGTGGCCTGAGAGGGAAACAAAACAGATGGAAAAATAATAAAAACCTGGACTATAGATGTAAGCAGATAAGGAACGTTTCTAAAGATGATAAATAAAGTTAATTGAAGCCCATGTATCAAGTTTGGAATAAGTTTGTTGGTAATCTAGAAGTAGCGTACCCAGTTTCTTGTCTTTGCCTGCTCTTCCACCTATTTCTTTTTCTCTCTGTTCATGTACAGCAGTGAACACATAATCCACTAGGCATTTTCTGCACTGATCCTCTTAAAAAATTAGTATTAGCCTATATATGAGGCAGGCCAAAGAGGATTGAACACTGCTGCAAAATTAGTACCTGTTGGCCTCATTGCAAGGGCAGGCCAGTTCCCTTTCTCTTATGAGGAGCTTGGTTGTGTTTTCTGTGCAGGATTGTGCATGCTGAGCAGATGTGTAGGGGATGGAGCACGGATGTGGAAGTGACTGGGAAATGGTGACTTTGTCAGCGCATCTGATTACTCATCTGGGCGACATGCAAAGCAGGGGAATTTTTAGGGAGATGGGCAATTCTTCTGGGAAAGCAGGCAGAAGAGTAGAAGGTTCTGCAGACTTGGTTAGCTCTTTGCTGGCGTGCAGCAGAGACGCCGAAGCTAAAGCAGGTCTGACAGAACTTCAGTGAGGCAGAGTGGGAAGTCTGGTGTTCCTCTTTGCTTGAATAAAACGTCCAGGTCTACACAGATTTGCATGCATTGCAAATGGCAGAGTAGGGGAAAAAATGCATGAAATGTGATTATGGTTCTTGCTTTGTTCAAGAGTGGTTTTCAAGGGCAGGCTTTAACTGTGTTTCTGCTCAGTTCTCCTCCTTCTCCCAATATAAAGCAGGCATTCTTCTTGCCCCAAATAATTGTTTGTATATGCTCATTTGTGCTTTATTTTTTTTTTAATAAATAATACTGTATGAACATTGTCATTGTACATACAGAGAGATGCATGGAAACATGGAGGCTTTTTGTTTTTATAGAATGTCTTTGTTCTCATTTCCACTGAACGAGATAATGAGTTCAGTTTGTTTGTTACTGGAAAAACAATGCAGGATGTAGGGAAGAGACCTAGAGATGTGCAAGCCTTTGGATTTGTGTTTGAATTCTCCCTCCATGCAATTTGGATGTGTTCTGGAGAGAATGGAGCAATATAGACTTTTTAAAACACAAAGTGCACACTGAATCCGTGTCTTAATTCAGGTAACAAAAGTTGTGCTTGGCTTTGGTTAGGTTTGTTGTGGTTAAACTTGTAAATTTGAAATACTTCAAAAGGAGCTGTCTCTTGTATTGCTTAGAGTGGTATAGGCT